CACTGCAGCTTCCTGGCCCCAGTTCAGAGAGGAGAGAGATTCAAGGCTCGATCACAGCCAGACTGGTCATTTACATGTAGGACTGGATCTTCCAGTTGCAGACCTGAGACTATGCTGGCAGCTTAAAGTGATCTTAGAACTCCACTGCCCAAGAAGCAGCAAAACTTCCCTGCACGTGAGGAGTTTTCATCCTCAGACAGTGGAAAAGCATCCCTGCTAAATAGTGCCAGGAATTAGTAGAAAATTAAGCTACATTTTGATCTTTCCTAGTTGCACCCGTCCAACATACCAGACAGGATTTCCACTACATCAACCCTACTTGCACAAATGAAGACAGTAGCTGAGTGTTTTAAAATCATTTTCTGCTTGGCTTTGAAAGGCAATACAATGAATCACTGACAGCCAACTTATCTCCTTAGGGCAACTGGCTCAGACTTATACTGAAGGACAAGCAAAACTTTAAAATTAAAACTCAGTGTGTGCACATAAGGTCTGAATATTAATGATGTGACTTGGACCTTGGCTCTCTGTGTTTCTCTGCACCCAGGGTCAGTCAGAAGACCCCAGGCTGTGGCATTCTTGTCCCACAGCCTCATGGCTAAATGGTCATGCTCTGTACCAGCAGTGGGCAAACCTTCTCTAAAGGGACAGTAGAAATTTTAGGTTTTATATGCTATGTACAGTCTTTGTTGCATATTTTTGTGTCTGTTTTTAACAACTCTTTGAAATGTAAAACCCCTTAGCCCGTGGACCACACAAACACAAGCTGGGGAGCCACCCCCCGGCCATGGTTTGCTGGTTCCTCCACTATCCACTCTGCGTAATGGGCCCTGCAGAGTTCACTAGCCCCCTATAAACCTGTTCTGTCCAACATGGTGGTCACTGGCCATATGTCATATGGCTATTTGATTGAAAGGAAATACAACGTAAAATTCAGTTCCTCGGTCACACCAGCCACGTCAGTGTTTGGCAGCCACATGTGGACAGTGTGGCCGTGGACACTTGCATTATCTCAGAGATCTTTTGGACAGTGTTGCTCATGGCCCATCTGGAGGTGTCTGGGGTAAAGGGGTGAAAGAGGGAGCTGAGCTGTCACAGGTGAGACCCCAAATAGGAGAGAGATGGGAAGGAGGAAGGCAGGTGAGGGCTGGCCACTGCTCACATGTTGACGATGTTCTTGACGTTGAAGTTCTCCAAGGGAGCCAGGTCAGGGTCCACGCCCCTCTCGTCCTGAAGGACTATCTGCTGCAGGATGCGGTCCAGGAGCTGCCACTGCTGCAGGTAGCCACCGTTCCGCTTGTCTGAGGGACACAGACAGCATGTCTTCACTGAGCCCCGGAGCCCCCTGGAGCCTCACCCTAGAGACACTGCCTGGGCCCAGGCTGGTGAGACAGGCCCTTCCCCTCCCTTGGCAAGCTCCCGGGCTGATGGGGGAGGGGATGCAGTTGCTGATGATGGAGAATCTCAAATCCAGTCATTTCTTTATCTGTGACTGACCCTCTGTGTCAACCCTTTCGACATATTTCTCTGTTCCCTGAAACTCTTCCCGGCTGCCTTTCTTCCCTGTGGGTACTCGAGCATCCTGTGCCCTGGAAATGAAATTGCTTTTCACAGTATCTTAAAAAAAAACCCTTTTCAGAAAGCAAATCTGCTCCAAATATTACGTGCTGAATAACAAAGTCTCCAGGGAAATTTTTTTTAAAAAGAACAGGTTTGGGGATTATCTATGCTATTGTTCTACAGAGAAAGATGAATGGAAACTAATTACAGGTGTGCACAGAGAGGGCGTTAGCTGGGTTGGAGAATGATCTCACAGGGTCCCACTGTCATCCCCCCTAATCATAGTCTGGCTGGGCATAGNGTGGTGATGGAATCCAGGAAGATTTTTTTGGTGACGGTGACCCTGAACCATGAAGGTAAAGCGTTGTGTGTTGTGTCCGATCTCACAGGGTCCCACTCTCATCCCCCCTTATCATAGTCTGGCTGGGCATAGACTTTCCCACGATAGCCACAAGCTTCTCTTTATTGGTTCTTGACCCCCAATACTTCATCTCTCCTGACCACCAACCAGCATNTGATCTCACAGGGTCCCACTGTCATCCCCCCTAATCATAGTCTGGCTGGGCATAGACTTTTCCCACGATAGCCACAAGCTTCTCTTCATTGGTTCTTGACCCCCAATACTTCATCTCTCCTGACCACCAACCAGCATGATCCTGACCTTGAAGTCAAACCATTAATGCCTACAAGGTGGAAGGTCATGTCTGCGAAGCCCCACTGTGAAGCAGACACACCCAGACACATTGCCCAGGGACTACCAAGCCCAGGNGCCCATGGACCACCAAGCCCAGGGGCTGTGGGACAGAAGTCAGCTTTCCCAGGAACTTCCCGTGTCTTCCATGAAAACCTCTGAACTGACTTCTGGAGAACTGAGAGCTTCCTGGTCCNTGCCCAGGGACTACCAAGCCCAGGGGCTGTGGGACAGAAGTCAGCTTTCCCAGGAACTTCCCGTGTCTTCCATGAAAACCTCTGAACTGACTTCTGGAGAACTGAGAGCTTCCTGGTCCCAGCCACTGGGCCTGTTTTCTTTACCCTACTCTGCTGACACGGGCATTGCAAGGTGGCATCATGCTCCATTCACCTTTCACCCAGGAAAACAGGGTGCTGTCAGGACACTGGCTGCCAGAAGGAGAACATGTTTCATCCAGAGCCCTGCCCGCAAAGAAACAAAACTTCCTTCCCATGTAAAGACTGGCTCAGCCTCATCCAATGAAAGTGGATGTCACTGCAAGGTTCAGAGACCCTGTGCTAAAGGACCTCCCCTCACACCTGGCCCACAGCTGGCACACAGTAAACTGTCATTGTTACAATCACCACCATCACCACCACTAAAGAGAGTCTGTCTAGGTTGACCACGATTTTCCAAATATTCTACTTTGTGAAGAGCTTAAATACCAAATGGTACAGCTTTAAATTGCACTATTGAAATTGGTCATTAGTAATTCTGTGTAATTCATGCACTCACTGTGCACACCTGGATCTTAAGAGCTTAGCATCTGCTCCCCTGGATGCTGACATTTGCAGAGGCAAAGGTGTTAGGGTGGGAGCCAGCAAGGACTAGCTGGAGGAATTGATTAAAAAAAAATTCCTGCTACTCTCCCAAACACAGACCTTCTTTTTGGAACTCCCCGAGAGGCTGACCATTCCCTCATCGAGCTGACAGCCAGAGTTGTTCGATTTCACAGTGATCAAGCTACTGCTTGTTGGACTGGGATGCTGGCCTTGCTCAGGGCCAAGTCCCAGCAACTCCCCAAGGTGACAGTGGAAGTCATGGCCTCAAGGAGGGAGGGAGGAGCAGGGCCTGAGTCCTGGCCTGGCCTGGCCTCCCAGGGGCATGTGCAGAGGGAGACTTGGGGAGATTCACCAGCCCAGGAGGTCTCGACACCTCGTCTCAGGTTGCCCGGGCCTGGACTCGGGCGCTGAAGCGGCAGGTTCGGGCTACTCACAGGGCATCTGCAGGCAGTGGTGCAGCACCGACAGCAGGCAGGGGTAGGCCTCCGTGTGCTTCAGCTTCCGGTGGATCAGCTCAAACATCTGGGAAGCACTCTTGGTGTCAATGTGGACCTGGGGAG